GGCTGATCCTGGGGCTAACGCTAAAATTCCACACCCGTCCCCTTCCTACATGTTTCAGTACCCAAGTATTCCTGCAAAAGGAAACTAATCTACATCTGTGACAGATATTTCTCCAAGAGGTTCTACTGACTCTCCATAAGGAGCTTGTTCCTGATCCCAGATCATAGCTGCATGTTTAATAAGCTCTCAGGATAACTCCTAAGGACATAAACTCTAAGGACTGGGCTTGGGGCTACAGTACATACGCCAGATCAAATCCTGGAGTTCCCCATTAGCTTTTCCTGGTGGCCTTTGACCTGTGGCACATTCCTGCTGTTTTAAGTCCACATTGTAGTCCTCTCCATGGTCTTGTGTGTGTATAAATCTATTCATATGGCTCTAGCTGTTAACCAATAGAAGACAGGGACAAGAAGAACATAAGAGAGTCATTGGGTTAGTGACAGGGTTCTGAAACCAAAGTCAGGAAGAGTAGATTCAGGTCCTAAACCTGTCAATGAGAAGCTGTGTGCTTGGGAAGAACATTTATTTTCAATCAAATGTCCACTATGAAGGGCACACACTAGTGACTCTGAAGGCCCTTACAAGTACAATTGTCATGTCAGTCCTTTTCCAGGAAGGGCAAGGAACCTGCTATAGGAAGGGAAACCTGTTGCTTGTTTTACATCATGGAGATAAATTGTAGTGAAGCAGGCTTGGCAACTTTGATGAGTCCCAGCCTAAGTGAGTATCTGTGGCACAATTTTATAGGAATGTTGGGCAAGGCTACACAGGTGAAAGGTATTACTTAGTCCTAGCCTTACATCAGGGGGTATAGCTCAGGGGTAGAGCATTTGACTGCAGATCAAGAGGTCCCCGGTTCAAATCCGGGTGCCCCCTGCCATCCATTTGTTTTGCTCCCTGGAACTAGTATTGAAGATTCAGCTCCCTTCTCCAATCCAAAATCTCAAAATACTGAGCCTCCCCAAATCTGGAAAAAAGCCAGGGATGACTTAAAACCCTGTTACTGAGCATCACAGTCTCAGAGTGATAAATTCTTCAACTCTGACTTTTTATTTCATTTACCAAAGGTTCCATTCTACATAGCCTGGTTTAGCTTCACTTTTTCTATTTAATACATGTTTTCATGATCTCAAATCAGTGGTGTGCTGGTCAATGTTTAACTACCACTTCTTAGTGGAGCTCATGAGTGATTTGTAGTTTTCCAATTTCACAGTATTGATAATACCACTATTGTTCAAGCTACAAGGCCAATTTCAAGCTACAAATATGGGATCACTAAAGATGAGTTGGGAAGATATGTTAACAAGTGATTTGCTGCTGTAAGACAGCTCAAGCACACCACTGTCCCTAATCCACCTTCCCTACAGAGGCATGGGCTTTTTGACTCTAAACAGTGTTTACTCACATCAGAACAGTGGCTATAACCCATCCATTCATCCATAGAATCATTCATCCATTAAAGTCATATTTGATTTCTACTCAGTGTCAGGCACAGGACAGAACTGAGTAAGAACTTTCTATGGTAAGTAAACAGTCAAATGAAGAAATGATCAAGTGATGCTAGGTCAGCTGAATAAAAGAAGAAAGGGTACTATTTTAAAATGAAAGGATTTCTATTATGAGCAATATACTAGACTAGATAATCTAAAACTCCCCATCTCAAAATACCCAGAAATGCAAGATAATATAATAAATATATAAATTCCTAGGTATAGCTGAACTCTCATACCAGTAAGGGATATCTCTGGGGTTAGATTGGAGAATGAACTAAAACCCTGAGAAGTAAAAATGTAGGTGCTTGAGTTTTCAGACTCATGTAGGACAGGAGATTAGGCCTTAGACCTGGAGTCCCCCTTTTCTCCTATAAAGTCAGACTCTTAGAGAGCCATCTCATTAGTAAAAGAGTGGGCAAAAAAATTTCATACACCAGTATAAGAAGACAAGAGGTCTTTATCTTCCTGAGGGGCAGAGGGCATCTCTTCTGAGAATTCATAACCACAGATCTACTTTCACATGTGTTAGGGCTTTGAATTTACACTACCTACATGGTTCAGAAACTCCCCTACCTGAAAATTAACATAAAAAGTACTTGGGCTAATTATGATTCCGAAATATCTAGAAGAAGAACATCAACTCTAAAGAGCATGCCCTCAAGCCAGGCTGCAGGATTGCCACTGATAAAACCTGACCTAAGGCCGGGCGCTGTGGCTCACGCCTGTAATCCTAGCTCTTGGGAGGCCGAGGCGGGCGGATTGCTCAAGGTCAGGAGTTCAAAACCAGCCTGAGCAAGAGCGAGACCCCGTCTCTACTATAAATAGAAAGAAATTAATTGGCCAACTGATATATATATAAAAAATTAGCCGGGCATGGTGGCGCATGCCTGTAGTCCCAGCTACTCGGGAGGCTGAGGCAGAAGGATCACTCAAGCCCAGGAGTTTGAGGTTGCTGTGAGCTAGGCTGATGCCACGGCACTCACTCTAGCCTGGAAAAAAAAAAAAAAAAAAAAAAAAAAAAAACCTGACCTAACATGGGCTCACAATTCAAAGCAATAAGATGTACAAGGAACCAGTGTATTATGAGAGAAAATCATCAAACAAAAATAATGTCACATAATAGAATTATCAGATAGATACTATAAAGTAATGATAGTTAAAATTATTAAAGGCATAAGGAATTAAAAGCAGGAGAACATGTGATTTTTTAGAAGATAAAGCAGATTCATCTAAAATGAAAAATATAATCACTAAAATTGATCACTTAATTAACAGATTAAATGCAGATAAAAAACATAGAGATTAGATGAATTTACAGAGAGATTTAGGAGTGAACTAGAATATAAATCTTTTAAAAATCACCTCACAAAAGTCTAAAGAATGGAATATATGAAAGAGTACCTAAGTGACATAGAGAAGAATAAAAAGGGATTCAAAATATGTCAAACACAAATTCTACAGTGGGAAAATATAGTGAGGGAGAGGCAATAGTAAAAGATATAACGGCTGAGAATTTTCCAGACTTGTATTAAACAAAGATATGATACCTCAGATTTAGGAATATTGAGTTCTAAGAAAGATAAATAAAAGATCCATGCCTAGGCACACCGCAGTGAAACTTCATAATATCATAGATAAAGAGATGATCTTTAAAGCAGCCAGAGAGAGAAGACAAATCATACACAAGGGAACACTTAGACTGACAGTACACTTTTTGACAGCAACAATGAAAGTCAGAAGACAATGGAATAGAATAGTAAAAGCGTGAAAGAAAATAACTATAACCTAGAATTCTCTACTTAGTTAAACCAGCATTCATGAATGAGAGAAAAGTAAGGCATTTTCATATAACCAAAAGCATATACTTCTTTCAAATCGGCAGAAAGAAAAAAATGAATAAAGAAAACTGACCAATATTATAGATGGAGAAATGGCATAGAAAAAACTCAGAATAAGTAGAAAGCACAAAATAAGGTGGTAGAAATGAATTAAAAAATTAATAATCACAATACATGTAAGCAGATTATTTGTCAATTAAGATAGAGACTGTCATATTAAATTCAACACAACAAAATCTAGCTATATGCTCTTATGTGACACACAGCTGAAACATAAATACACACAAAATTTGAAAGTAAAAGTATAAGAAAAGAGATACTAAGCAAATACTAGCCAAAAAGAAGAGTTAGTGTAGCTATATCAATATCAGACCAAATGGATTATAGCAAGTATTATTAGGAATAAAGAATGTTAATAAAATAAACAATAAACAATAAAATAAATAATAAAATAAATAAAATAAACAATTCTCCAAGAAAATATTACAATTTTAAATTTGTATGCATATGGCCTCCAAATTTATAAAGCAAACATTGTCACAAATACATGGAGAAGCTGACCAGTGTGCAATCTTAATATAATATTTTTAACAAATCTCTTCAGTAACTGATAGTTCCAAAGGCAAAAAGATAAGCTACAGAAGGCATGAAAAATATGATCAGTAAGCTTGATTTAATAGCTCTAACTAGACCTCTGCAAGCAACATTAGAATATACATACTTTTTTGAGGTTAACATGTAACATTTTCAAACTTCTATTGCATACTTGACCACAAAGCAAGTCTCTGAAAATTCTAAAAAGTCATCACATACTACATTCCCTGACTGTAGGTCAAAACTCAAAAACAAAACAACAACTTCTAAAAAAGATTTGCATTTGGAATTTAAAAGGTACCTTTAAATAACCTCATGGATGGAAAAAGAAGTCATAATGAAAATCAGAAAATATTTTTAAATTGCAGCCATTTCCACATGAAGGAATGCACACACAATTTACCTTCAGAGGAAACTATGGATTCATTTGGGAAAACTAGCTGACTAGTTCACCAAAAGCCAGTTCATAGAACGACCAGATAGCCAAAGCCAAATATGATGAAAGCTATACCACTGAATATCAATTTGCTAAACAACTAAATTGAAATATTGAGAATTTTTTCAAGATGTCTCCCGTCTCCACTCCTGCCTTTGCGTCCAGAGCCACCAAATAAACTCGATTCAGGACGTTCTTCACAACCATTCTTTAGCGCATACACAGGGACTGCACGGTATGTGCAGGTCTGCAGGGTCACAGGTGCAACTAAACCTTTGGAGGTAGCAGGTGGCAGGAGGTTTCCCAAAAATGTAAAGAACTGGCCATTTGGCACATTTGACGGTGCTGAACCGCATTTCGTGACTGATGACCTATAGTCTGCAAATGGGGCTAGTCAGGAAGGGGGAGCTTGAGTCAAAGAGGTGCCAAGACGCTGTACATGTTAACATAAAGGTGCGTTTTCCTTGAAGAGAGATTCTTTTTTAAAGTTTTTAAGTTTAAGAGATTTTAAAAGTTTAGGGTTCCTGGGAGGGAGAGTAGGGTGTGGGGAGGAGCTGGGAGAAGGAGCACTTATTGGGAGGGAGCCCACCTCAGAAAGAAGAGGGGCCACCAGGCCTAAAGCACAGGCAAGGGACTTACCAGGAGGCGCTGTGGCCTGTAGAAATCTTGAGGTGAGGTGCTGCACTTTAGGTTTTCTCTTTCCGCCTGGTGAGACCCTTGCGATATCTTCAAATCCTTGTTCAGTGGGCTACACACACGCCGGTGTGAGGGCGGCTTTCCCCCGGTGTGCGCTGGGCAGTGACAGAGAGTGCTCCGCCCGCCCACCCCGCGCCTTCCTTCAGACGCCCGGCATAGCGGTGGCACCTCATACCCCAAAGTTCTGGGAGGTGAGGTGATCCGCAGCAAAGCCAGGGGAGCCCACAGCAGGCCAGCACTGGGCAGCTGGGAGAGAAACTCCATTTTCTCGAATGTTCCGAGGAAGAGGGCAGTCTGGGCATGAGTCTGGACTGAGCTTCCAAGCTCAGAGCATCTCCCCGTCGTGGGACCCCTGCTTCCTCTTCCTCTGCCTTTCCAAGCTCTGTCTGGCAGAGCGGGTTTGGCCCCACAGGCCCCTCTGGGGCGTTCCAAGAGGGGTCCTCCTCCGGGACTGGACCACAGCGCTCACTGTGCACAGCCCGCGCCGCCCGCCCAGAGCGCCACTCTCCCGGCCTTCGGGACGAGCCGTCCGGACCCGGTGGGCGGAGAACGGGGGCCTATGCTTGGTTCGTGCACCACACATTTGAGGCCTACTACGTGCCGGGAACGATTAGGGCTACCACAGTCAACAAAACCGGCGAGCAAATTTTCACACACAGGTCAATGCAGTGGCGAGTAACGGAGCGGGCCGCCAGCTCCGAGGTGAGCCGGGGTTTGGCAGCCACCCCCGACACCCACGCCCGGGCGGCCGGCGGGCCCGGAAGCTCCCACTCGGTCCGGTTGATGTGACCGCGGCCTCTGGGAAACGCGTCCCGTTGCATCCGCGCATCCCCACCTGGCACGCGGCACGCGCTCAGTAAGTGCTGGACACCAGAGTGAATGAATGCACGCACGGATACGAGCATGCACACCCACCGGCCCGGCGCCCCGCGCCTGCCAGCAGCTTTGGGGGGTCGAGGGCAGGACAGGGGTCTGCCCCACCCCCGCCTAGGCCGGCGCCGCGGCGCCTTCTGGGAAGTGTAGTCCGCGCCTGCGCCGGCCGGGGCGCCGAGGCAGGGGGCTCCCGGCGGAAGTGGGGCCACCCTCCAGGGATGCCAGGCGCGGGGGGCGGGCTCGGCGAGGCGCGGGGCGGGCCCGGGCGCGGCCATCCCCACCCCTCCCCGGCGGCCGGGGCCCCCGGCCCCGCCTCCTCCCGCGCGGAGCTGGGCAGCCGCCGGGGGTCGCCACGCAGCCCGCAGGCGGGGAGCGGGCGACCGCGCCTCAGGCCGCGCCGGAAACTGGGCGGGCGGAGGAGTGGCGGGGAGGCTGAGCCCCGGGATGGCGCGCCAGGTAAGGCAGGCTGGGACCCCGCCCCGAGCGAGAGCGGGACTGGACGTGTGGGCGCCTCGGTGGGTCCACTTGGCTCAGTGCGGGGCGGCGGGGGCAGGATGGAGCGCGGATCGCCAACTTCGGGGTTCACCCGGCAGGCCTGGTGCCGAGGATTTTGTGTCGAGAAGTCCAGGTCTTCGGACCAACCCCTCCCCCACTCCCGGGGGACGCAGGACTTCGAGTCTCTCTCCACCTGGGGAAACTTGCTCCTTCGGGTTGAGCGTCGCCCTCCCTCTGCGTGGCTTCTCTTCATTACATGTTATTCTGGGAGTGGTGGGCACGAAGGCCTTAGGGAAATGAGTGAATCTGATACTTTTATTCTTGGTAGAATCCGGTAGCCGGGAGGGTGGGGACATGGAAATGGAGAGGGAGAAATAGAAGGTAGAATAGGTCCCAAGTTTTATCCTGGGCAGCCTGCAGGTAAGATGTATAGATCCCAGAGCTGGCGGGAGGGCCCCATCTGCAGTCATAGTCTGGGCACAGGTTGGGCTCAGTTGTGTGTGGGTTGTGAAGATGCCAAGAAACTCTGCAGATGATACCACCAGGGAGTTGCTGCACATTCTTCTGGGTGGGCACCTGGAGCCGGTTCTGCCACTGTGGTAACCAGTGAGCTTTGGCCAGCCCCAGGCAGCCATGGATGGGGAGCGGTGTGTAGGGATAGTGGCTGGGACAATGTGTATCCAGGCAGAGCCAGCACTGTGTCCAAGATACCCCATAAGCATCTTCGGAGAAGGAGAAACCAGAAAAATTGGATTGGCAGTTGTGGGCAGAAACGGTCTCCTTTGCAGCTCTGGCTGTACGATTAAGTTGCTCAGGTATGCCCAGTGGCCCCATCTAGGGCCTCTTCATACCACAGTTTCCTGTTCTGTACAGTTAGGGGGTTGGGCCACCTACCTTTCAGATCTGATGTTCAGGGAAGGGCATGTCCTCATACTATGTAGCTTCAGGTCTCCTTTGCAGCTCTGGCTGTACGGTTAAGTTGCTCAGGTATGCCCAGTGGCCCCATCTAGAGCCTCTTCATATCACAGTTTCCTGTTCTGTACAGTTTGGGGGTTGGGCCACCTACCTTTCAGATCTGATGTTCAGGGAAGGGCATGTCCTCATACCATGTAGCTTCATGGAGAAGGTGGCCAGGAGTGACCTTGCAGAGTAGTAGGTCACAGTTACATGGAGAGGAGCAGGGAGGGCTCCAGTATTCATATCCACTGTGACTCCCAAAACTCCAGGGACATGTGAGCACAGCCAACAGGTGGGGTCAGTATTCATGGACAGTTGCCTGCTGACTAAGTGGCTCCTTGCAGGGTCAGATCTAGAAGCCCAAGACACAGGTCTGGGCTAGGCAGGATGGTAAGAGACAGATCCTGGGTCCTGTGAGCTCTAAAGCTGGTTTTCATGCTGGGCTAGTGACACAGTGAAAGGGGTGTTTCAGGAGGACCAGTGTGGCAGCAGTGAGGTAGAAGGCTGCCCAATCACAACAATCCTGATCAGTGCGGAAAGCGTTTCTGCTGTTTGTTGGGGAAGGTGAAGTGGGGCCCAGGAGGACAGGGCAGGAAGGACCAGCCTGTGGTGGTTCTGCTCCTGCACACTCACGCTTGCTCACTCCCTCACACACAAACTCCTCACTCTTCCTCCACTTTCTCTGGGCCGGGGGAGGCCACTGACTGAAGCACCTACCCTGGCCACGGTCAGTTCCCATGCACATTTTATAAGAACTTTGTCACCCATGGGTTTATCTTGAGGCTGAGATTGTGAGAGGTCTGGAAAACATCTCTTGCAGGTATCTAGAAGAGCTGGTTATATTTAGCCTGGAGCTGACAGGAGCAGTGTGTGTGGAAGAGTTAGACAGACCTGGCTGCAGTAATACTCATCACGGCACTTAATACATCCCAGCACTTGTTCTAGGCACTTTTCCTCTATTAATTTGTTTCATCTTTACAACATCTCTGTGAGGTGGCTTGTTGTGATCCCAGTATTATAGATGAGTTCACCAAGGCACAAGTGGGAAGTAGTTTGGCTGAGGTCCCATCACTAACATGAAGCAGAGCCAGGGTTGGACTCCTGCAGCCCGGGTCCTGGGGTTAAGCCCTAACCAAGCTCTGCCCCTGTGTGGCTGGGATCAGCATATTTTTCCCTGGATATCACCCCTCCCTTGCCAGCTGTGTGTTGAGCTACCAAAAGGTAGAGAAGAGCTGAGCCTGGCCTCCAGGGGTGTGTTTTGGGTGGAACTCTTGTTTCCTAGGTACAGAGCCTTGTGTTGGTCAGTGTACCCCTAGGTTATGGTTCTCAGGAGAATCTATGCACACTAACCAAACTCACAAAGAACAGATAGGTAAATCAGGATGTGCCAGTTGCTTACTGTACCTTGAATAGAGCTGACAGTCAAGCTAGAAATACATGGTGGCTGATTAAGTCTTTGGCCACTTAAAGTGGAATCTGCGTGGGAAGCCAGATATTCACGGACAGTTGCCTGGTGAGCATGGAGGTGTGTTGGAAAAGCTCGACAGCTGACATTGTTGAGCTTGGGTGGCTTGAAGCATCTGTAGCAATTAGGGAGAGCCTGCTGTCGCCTGGGCAAGGGCAGGGGCACCCAGACCAGTTCCTGCTCTCCCAATGCCCTTCTCTGGCCTCGGCTTGTGAAACATCAACATTCTGCTGGCTCCCCCTCTTTGGTAGCATGTGGTGCTGTTACCCTGGTTCCAGCTTTTCAGGCTCCCTCCGGCCATCCTGAGAGGGCAGTCTGCGAGGCCTGGACACTCGGGCTCTGTCATGTTGTACTTTCCTGTGCTGTTGCTCTGCTTGGTCCTTCAGGGCCCAGTCATGCCCATGGGGTCGGTCTGATGAGCTTCCAGGTTCTGAGGGTGCCTTGTTTTGCCCTAATGTATTGGCCATAGTGGGAGTTTAAAAAATATTTGTTGTGTGACTGCAATGAAAGTCAGTGAAGAACTGTGACCTGTTCACCTTTCCCGTACCTCCCCACTTTTCCTCAGCTCTAGCAGTGAGAGGTGGCTTGTAAATAGGTGGTTCCAACCTTTTTGGCTTTGTGACTCCCCCTTCTTAGTATCGAAACTTCCCTGAGTCCCACATAGTGTGTATTTAGTGCACTAATTTGCAGGTTTTTCATGTATTCTAAAATTAATCCTGTATTACTTTTAAAGGATATGCATGTTCATAACAGCATCATCTGTGCATATTTAAACATAGTAACCAAAGCACGAGAGTAAGATGTACATGTCCAGTCCAGAGGCAGAGGTTGTGCCCATTTTGGCCCCTGTTGTGACAAGTCTGAAGCTCTTAGGGCTCTGTAGCCCACAGATGGGGCTCACTGGCTGCTCCAGGGTCTGTCTCTTCCTGCTCCACCAGTCCCTGTGGTACCCAAGGCTTGGCTCAGGGTAGGACTCAAGAAGGAAGAGGGTATAATGGGAGGAGCAGAGAAGACCTGAGGACAGGGCAAGACAGGTGGGACCTTGAATGCCATGACCAGCTGGACACAGTGGCAAAGCTAGAGCAGGCTGGGCCATGAGGCCTCCCTGCCAGAGGTGCCAGGTGGGGCACACTCTGAGCCCTCAAAATGTTTGTGTCTTGTCAGAGTGTGATGGGACCCTGTGTTGGGGTCCCCAAGAGCATCCCACGTTCAGAGTTTCACTAGGAAACTCCTGGCTAAGATTTGCCACTGTGAGAGGGTACAAAGCAAGACCAGCGAAGGGAGAAGACCAGCGATGGGTAAAGTCTGGGAGAAACCAGGGACGAGCTCCCCAGGGTCCCCTCCCAGTGCTGTCACACAGGATGCACTTAATCCCTCCAATATGGGATGGTAACAACACATGTGAGATGTTGTCTACCAGGGGAGCTTCACTAGAGACTTGGCACCAGGGTTTCTACTGGGGGCTGGTCACATAGGCACCCGTACATGCCTAGCATGTACCAACCTTGCAGACTCCCAAAAGGAAAGCAAGGGTTTGGCACACACCACACTGTAGCCAAATAATCTAGGCACCATGAGCCACTCTCATTATTTAGGGAATGGTGGGAAGCTTGTCGACACCCAAATTCCCAGACACCAGCCGGGGGTCCTCCTGGCAGGCAGCCTTCCTGAGGACAGCAGCCTCAGGCCTGCTCTGTGAGCCCTCCTGTGTAGACCCTGGTGTTGGCCACATTTTCTCTGACAGGAAGAAATGTCGTGGCTCTTTGAGAGAAGTTTTGGAGGCTGTCTCAGCCCATCCCTGAGCAGAAGTGGCAATACCCGGGCCAGAGCCACAAAGGTTAGCTCAGAGAGTCAGCAGTGAGCCAGGGAGGCGAGTGCCGCGTGTGTGGCCTCCGTGGGCCCTGAGCCATAGGCAGGCGGTCATGGGAGGGATGGCCCCTCGCCAGGTGTGCGGATGCAGCCTGGCCAGTGCAGACAGAGAGCGGAGCGCGGATGGAGCAGTCTGTTGGATGTCTGAGGGGACAGGCGGCGAGGGAGGCAGCGAGTGAGCGACAAGACCACCAGTTATTGGCAGCGATGGTTTTTAAAATCACTGACGTGAGTAGATGAAACAAGGCAGTAGATTTCCTCTTTCCCTTATCAGGAGTGTCTTCATTTTCTTTAATAATTCTTACCTACAAATAAATGGTTCGGCATTTGTTGCTA